ATAAACTCCATGAGAGGTCTTGCACTCCTTTGTTGCAACCCATTAGCCTCCTAGCACTTGACCAAAGTGTTTACCTCGCATTAGAATGTTATACATGTTTAATTAGTGTTTTAATCACTAATTGTTTATATACATATGTCTTCATATGTAATTAGGATCATTGTGTGTGTCTAAAGTCTTCACTTGACACCAAGCACATGTCCGATCCTTCCTTACAACACAGTCCGTTCAATTCCAATCACTTACTACAGGTGAGTTCATACCCCTTAATCAATGTTTTAACTGTTTTTAAATTTTTATAGGGGGGGGGGGAGAGATACAAGTAGAATTATGCTAGTTACTATATCAATCATATGTGATTAGTAAGCAGCATTCAAATGATTGGCTACTCATTAGCCATTTTACCAAACAGCTTCCTTCAAATGATTTTCATCAACATTTTATATGATTAAAACTCCTTATTAAGTTGTACACTTTACTCTGTACGCTTCATTTCAAACTCATTTACAATGGTGTTTCAAACAAATGTTCCTCTATACTTAAACTGTTTTATCAAAACCCATGCTTTCAAACCGTTTTGAAGATTGACAGCAAGTCGATCTGTTCTTAGATAATAATTATGTTCAAGGTTTTTACAAAACTTACTTTATGCTTTTATGTTATAAATTGCATGCCTATATATGTATAGTTATACGAGGAATGTTTAAAAGACTTAGGAAAGCTATCCACCCTATTTCCTTTTTGCGCTTGAGATGTGGTCTGGTGGGATATCGGGTACCCATCCAAAGGTCGTTTAAATATTAGTTATATATCATGTGTACATATATAGTCATAAAGGTCCTTCCAGTTCAGCCAATGCCCTTGGGTAACAAGGGTATACATCCATGTTCATACGTACCAGTTTAATTACTAGTAAGCTACCATATGGGTAGTTAGGAATATACTAGAACCATTACTAGAACGCAATATCATACAATGAGTCAGTTCATTCATGAGTCAATACTTGCTAGATAGAGAAAGAACACACATTACAGCTAGCACACGCAGAACATTTTAGTACATTACTTTACATTTACATTGATACGTTTACATAGAGATCCTGTTATAAGCATGCCTATATATGTATAATTATATAAGCAATGTTTAAAGGAGTTAGGAAGGCCATCCACCCTATTTCCTTTTCGCGCTTGAGATGTGGTCTGGTGGGATATCGGGTACCCGTCCGAAGGTCGTTTAAACATTAGTTATATATCGTGTGTACATATATGGACACAATAGTTCCTTTTAGTCAGTTCAGTACCTTTGGGTAGCAAAGGCATACATTCATATACTTTTACATGATTACACTTACATAAGTACATATACATGAATATGTTAAAAAAATTGTGATCCACTGTATTGGAGCATGCCTTCAATGTCATGGCTCGAGTTGTAGCCAGAGTCTCTTGAAGGGAGAGTGTGAGTTTGCGTATAGATCTATACTGGATTGACTATCCTACACCTTGCTACTAGCTACAGCCGGACTTGCAGGTCTGCGGGAGCCAAACGTCATTTCTTTTTACGACCTACATTTTTCGTTGTTATCCAGTCGATAGTATGGTACAATTAATCACATGATACCTTAATATAAATCCGGTTTGTGGTAGTTAGTACAACAATAGTTCTTATAGCACTACACTACAGTACTACATTAATTTTCCCTTTACATATATTTAGTGATCTTTTTACTTAAGTATTAAATGTAAAAACTATATTTTGTTAATCATAGTTACACTTGGGAAAATTACTTAAGTATTAAATGTAAAAAATAAATGTACATTTAGAATAGTTAGGTCTTGGTAGAAGACTACATTCAGAGCAGTTAGGAATTGGTAGAAGACTCTCTTTTATAATAGTAGGAATCATAGGGATTTCTAGGGTTTTTCAAACGTTTACAGTTGTTTTACAAACATTTTCATACTTACAGTTCATTTACATTTTCAATACTTACAATTCGTATACATACAAATACTTACAGTTCATTCGTACAAATACTTACATCTCAAATACATACAAGTATTTACACACAAAATAAGACACTAAAATACTTATGACGCCACCAGATTTAAAGCTGATACTCTCTTTCAAAATTACTTATATCCTCAGGTCATCAATAGACAGGTACCGATGCAAGGTTTAGAGAAGATGGAGCTCGTTCAAGACTCATCTTTCTTTTGATTTATACTTTAGTGTCTATCATAATTTGTCAGAACACACTTGTATAATAATTACATTATTAATGCAATGGATGATGTTGTTTCTTGTTTACTACTTTACATTGTTGTGATATTGTACATAACGTCCTCCGCCCCAGAATGTTTCCGCCGTTCTTGGTTTTGGGGTGTGACATAGTCCCTTGTGAGGAGATCAACTAGGCTCTCATATGATGATACCCTCTTTCCATGAGGAGTCCTTCTTCTAGTCGATGTTTTATGAAGTGATATTTTCTGTCGTTGTGTCTGGATCTGCCATGATCGCTGAGTTCCTTTGCTAAGGCACCCATACTCTCTCTCTATCACAGAAAATCTCCATAGGCTCCTTTGTAGCTGGTACAACTTGTAACAACGCAAATTTTCAAATAAAATTTTCATTTAAAGTAAAGTGATTTCATTCAACCAATAGTATTTATTTCATGTTTCATATCAAATACATATATAAAATCCCCAAGATCTCAAATAGCAGCAGTGTGTATGCATCATGCCGGCGCCTTCCCACGGTCCTCGCTAGTACCTGAAACACATACATAACAACTTGTAAGCATAAATGCTTAGTGAGTTCCCCAGTATACGACTTACACATATACGCCTTTCCAGGCCCTGACCTTCCGGTCCACAACACATTGCCTTCCGGCCCGTAAACATAATCGCCTTCCGGCCCATAACATATTGCCTTCCGGCCCGTAACATATCGCCTTCCGGCCCATAACGTATTGCCTTCCGGCCCATAACATATACAACACATAATACATATACTCTAACACATATAACACATATATCATATATCCTACCTGACCTTTTCTGTCACATAACATATTGCCTTCCGGCCCATAAACATACATAGCATGCATAGCAACTACCTTTCTATTTATAGCATAAATAACACTTATCATCCGACCTTCCGGTCACACAGTCAAACCCTTCCGGGTGAAGTATAGTGAGAAGACTCACCTCGTAGTAATGTAAACTATCAACTCTTGAAACCACTCGCACTCGATCCGCCGATCTGCAGACTCCCTATAATACCATATACCCTTATTAATACTCTTATCATTCAAGACAACTGACCCTAAGAAATTACATGCAGGTCAACTCTGGTCAACGGTCAACGGTCAACTTGACCGGACTCGTCGAGTGCAAAGGAGACTCGGCGAGTCTAGACGTCCTCCCCAACTTTCCCTGTTGTTCCCCTTTCTACTCGTCGAGTATCCCTCTTGACTCGACGAGATCCTCGTGGAAGAATCGTGGGGACACCCCGACTCCACTCGCCGAGTCTGAAGAACAACTCGGCGAGTCCCAGTAACTCTTCAAGCTACTCGCCGGGTCTGAAGAACAACTCGGCGAGTCCCAGTGAATCTTCAAGTTACTCGCCGAGTCTGATCATTGGACTCGGCGAGTCCATGCCATGCAGTC